CTTTAACAATTATTTTCGGCTTCTTTTACATTTAAAGTCATTAACCCCCATTAAAAATCAACACTACTGTAACAACATTATTAATATCAAGATAAACGCATATTTCATTCTTGACCTTGACTGGGAAAATAATTTTTATTACTTTTAATTATTAATTTTTCCTGTTCTTTTTATTATTTTCTATAATATGGGCATTAAACTATCGTACAATAATATCTTTCCCCATTTTAAGAACTTAAGAAGTAGTTTCTCCATTATTTTGTCAAACTTTATTTGATGGCGCCCAACATTGGGAGTTTATGCTCGGATACAAGATTTAATTGAAAATGGTAAACAACGGATTAATATATTTTTAGTACTGTGACATTTGTAATTCTTAAAACCTAACTAAGAACTCAGGCATGCAATTTGGAACATGCTATTTTTGAGTTTTGCAACTGTTTATTAGCTTCTTTGTATTCCACAGGTTTATATTCAAGCACGCATTCATACAACTGTATGACCGCATGCAATTAAGCAATCAAACTGTTTGATTGCTAAAATTTTTTACAAACTGTTTGATTTAATCAATAGTTTAGTTGCTTAGATGTGCAAGCAACAATTTCACAATCAAGATGTATTCTTTTTTTCTTCCCACTCTTAAGAAGAGCATAGAAACTAGTGCATGATATCATAGGTTCATGTCTCAATTTCAATACGGCACAGATTTTTAACTAGGTAGGTGACTAGTCAGTCTAGTAAAAACTCTATGACGTAATGAGTCAAGAAGTATTTACAAAACAAAAATTGCATCTCTGCCAGAGCTCTAAGTGCTTTCATTGATTTTAACTAAAAATTTAACAATTTAAAAAATATAACAATTTTCAAAGAGATTCATTCCATTTCAATAAAAAAGTCTATATGTCGATTAAATATGTTATTAATTCTCTATGGAAAAGTTCATAATTTTATCAAGTTCAAAGTTTTTAAAGCTAATAAAAAAATGAAAAGAAAAATCTTAGTAAGCAACAAAAGTAATTTTTTGTTCAAAACAATTTTTTTCTGCTTTTTTCTTTTTGTGTAGAAAATTTAAGATTTTTTTTACATAAATTTTTTTGTGAAAAATTTCAGTAGCTTTGTTTCCCGTAGCGTTTTTTGTTAACACATAGAAGAATATTTTTTATCAGATTTTACGATATAACATCTGTTTAAGTTTTTTTCTTGTGTCCTTTTTCAAAAGTTACAAACGCAATATTTTGTAAATGTACTCGTATATAGAACCAATTTGTTCTTCAGTTTCATCAAAACTTATTTGACATAGAAAATATTATTTTTATTTATTTCATGTTTTTATTAACTTTTTTCTCTTGTTTTGTTTAAGGATATTCTCATTTTTGCTTTATTTTGTCGTAAATTTATGAATAAATTTTATAAAATGTTACCAATGGCCGGAATTAAGTGCAGTTTTAATGTAGTAAATTTTTCTTATTTCTGCTTCAAAACTTGTATTTCTTTGCAAAATCCAAAATATTTGAAAATTTTTACTGTCAATTTATAGTCAATTAAATTTTATATTGTGAATAATATTTACAAAAAAAATTTTAAAAACATACAAGGATTCATAGTGCACTGAAAATCATTGATTCATTGCAGCACTTAAATTATTGCTTATGCAAATCTTCCCTAACATCCAAAATGCAGCATTCCTCTAGCAATATATTTTATCTGAGATCCATATTTTAGAATAACAAATTTACACTGTGTTACGAGATAGTACACAATTGCTGAAAACGTGTAACAAGAATTGTACACAATTGCTAAAAACCCAGTCTTCTTTTAGTTTAACTACGGTACAAATAATGCAGTTAAACCGTAGTAAAACTTTTTAGTGCATTCTGGATTGCACGGCTTCACTGCATTTGAATCGACACTTTTTTGGTTTTGGTGTGCTTTTTCCTTTGTCCTAATTGTTAAATAAGTGACATTTCCCGTGACACATTCTGTAAATATTGTTAATCTCTTTTAATTTGTAGTAAATATAATTTTTGTCAGAATAATCAAACGCTTTATTTTCAAATTTAAGTCAAACTTTCGTAAAATGTGCTCCATTTACTATATTATAATTGTTTAAATTACAAATAATGTGTCCCATCACTATAATATTTCATACTTCACTTTCTTCTTAAATAAAGTGAGATTGCAATAAAAAGTTTAAGAAAATTTTCTCAATAATCTTTTTTATTTTATAGTTTTTATTTAGTTTAGTCTAGAATAAAATAACAGTCAAATACTATAAAGTCCTTATAATATTCTAAAATAAATATTTATTATGATTCTTAAGAATAATTTTTTTTTGTTTCTACAATATTCACTTTATTGTTTTAATATACCCTCATTTTTAAAATGAAGTTAAGAGAACGTTTTTTTTCTTGCCGCTATATATAAAAGCATTCATATAACATAAATGCAGGGCCATAAATTAATAACTAACTAAATATAAAAAGGGAAAACTATTTCAAAGCAATAAAATTATTGTTAAAACAAAGAGAAAGATGAAAGAGGCATAGAATTTTCTTCAATCAATAAAAGAAAATTACATCCCTAAAATGAGTAGATTCTGAAGAAAAATCCTTGAGAGAAATATTACAAATTTAATTATGCTTATCACCTATGTATGTATTCAATTTATTCACATAAATATCCTAATAAAGAACGTGACCTAAATTTGCTTTTGCATATATTGAAAAGATTCAAAAGAAATTACTTTATTCTGCTAAAGTAAATTCCATTGAAACTTCCACATTATAAATTATGATTTAGTTATTTTAAATGTTATAATAGCAAAATTTTTAATTTACAAAATATTGTTTCTTAAAATTATAGTAATTAATAAGCAAATTCTGAAATATTGTTCACAATAAATCACTCAACAATTTATCATAGAAATAAGGACGATAATTTTTACTCGAAAGTTTATTCAATTTATTTACTCCTTCCTAGAAGCATAGATCTCTCACAAAGCCTCTTCATTTGTCTCAATTTCGGAGTAACCTCTGGATATTTCATTTATTACTGCGCTTCTCCCCGTATTCTGCAAATTTTTCTGCTTTTCTGGGAGTTATACTCCATCGCGTGTCTTATAATCAGATAGTCGGTGGGTTGCCATGGACGGTGCAGCAGATTCATCGCACCTCAATTAGCATAAGTGTGTCGGTTTGCTAATACCATTCTGAGACCACTAGACAATCATTGAGCGCACGATAACAGGAGCCTTATCAAAGTCATTGGGATCTTTTGATTAATTTATTAAAATCCCCGATATCTATCTTCCGATATTTCTTCTTTTCGCTATCTCATAGGGAAAGGGAAAAACAATCCCGTTCTCATCCATATCCTGCTAGCTGCGACACGTTTTATTGAAGGGTAATCTTATTCTAACAGCATGCTCCCCTAACAACCAATACCCGTGTAGACTGCCGCCATGCAGACAATGCCCGCCGAGACATCACCAGAAGACCCACTCTATTTGGTAAGGTCGTCCTTTGGCTACATATTTCTTGCAGTCTCACATCTAGACAGGACTTTACACATACGGTCGTCGCACGATAGATATAATGTCTACATATATTCATTTTCACTTTCTTGCTGGTAACAAAAACTTATTCCGCCGCGGAAATGTAAGCCACACCTAACCAGATCATCCGCTCGTTCATTTCCTGTGACACTATGTCGAACGCACGCCCCAGCCATCTCTTGGAGCATTGGCTCATTATTGGATATTTCGGTTCCCTTAAAATAACCACTTATATTTGGTCTTTGACCGCACCATTTATATCTTCTTATTTTTATTGCAGTTTTATTGACTCTTGGTTACATAGGGATCAAAATTTACTGCTAGAAATTCAGTTTGCTTCTGTTAATCAAATGTTTTTACATGTTCAAAACTAACTTTACATATTATCTTGTTTTCACACCTCTTTTCTCACACATTCTCTTGATTTCAATTTGACTTTTAAGCATAATGAGTTGAGGAAATTAGTAAAATTTACAATTAATACACGATTAAAGTGGCTAAAATTTTTTTTATATGTAACTTAAAAAATGTTTTTACAACGTACCATTATAGAAATTGCAATTGCTTCTAATTGCTCCTCATTCATAATTTGCACAATATTTCGGAAGCAATACAACATTTTAATTGAAATGGAAAATCTAACAAATTTTATTAAATTTTCCTATAATTTAAAAATTTAAAAAAAATAAATCATTTCTATAAGGAAGAGCAATTCTATGTAATACACGTACAATTTCTGCATGTTCTGTTGTAACACAATTTTCTTGTAAAAATTTTCCCTATTTAAAATTATCTGTTCAGAACTTGAAATAAATTAATGTAAATGTCAAAAAATAAATTCAAAAATAAAAAAGAAACAAACCGAAAATTGTCCTTGTACACCATATCGGTAGTTAATAAATTATTAATGCTAGACTGCCTACTGACCTACTGTGCTTTTGTCTCGTTTCTCTAGGTGTACATAAAAATTTACTTTTTTAAATTCAGTTTTTTTTTTTGTATTCCTTCTCTTTTCATTTCAAAATATCTTTTTTCTTCCCTTTTTTTCGATACAATTTTTATTACTGTTCTTTTTCTTTCTCAATATTCTCTATATATACAAACAGTGATGATGATGATTATTATTAATGATTATCAATTTTAAGTAGCCATTATTTTTGTATGATATTAAGGAGGAAAATTAATTTTTAGCAAGAGAATTATCATTTCTCTTATCTTTTGTTACTTGCCATAAAAGCTATACGCAGATTATTAATACTTGTAAAATATTTCGAATGTTTGTTACTGTATGTGTGTGTATGTGTGCCAATCTCCTATTATTTTTCAATAAAATTATTTGTATTATGATTTTCCTATTTATGATTTCTTTTATATATTCACAAATCTATTATAATATAAAATTACTGAACTTATACGAGTATTATATAACACACTTACATATTTTCAGAATGTGGAATAAGACCGCTAAGACGTCAACCACGTAAAGAACAGCAACATAATAATCAACATAATCAAAATAATTATAATCATTATCATCAACATCATTATAATCGTAATCAACAAGAAGAACAGCAGCAGCAGCAACCGCAACAACAACAATTTCAACGAAAAAAGAAACAGCAATATGTTAACAATCAATTTTTTCATAATGCTCGTATACCAAAAATTATAGCAGGAAGCCCAACAAAAGAAGGTCATTTTCCATGGCAGGCATCTTTAGAGCTTTTACATCCCTCAATGGGATTCTTAGGTCATTGGTGCGGTGGTGTATTAGTTGATGAATTTTGGGTATTGTCTGCTTCACATTGTGTTCATAAGTAAGTTTTTTGTTTTTCTTATAGTTTCTAAATAACTTTTTGTTTTCATAATTGTATTTTATTACTTGTGATTTCTTTATTCTATATCCATTCTTCATCGGCTTGCGCTCCCCCACTCATAACACTCCATTATACTTAAGATTAAGGTGAATTGTTTACATTATAAGTTTTTCTTTCCATTAAAGGTAAACAAGAAAAAAAAACAAACATCAAAAAAAAAATATTATTTTTTATTTTTTTTTTTACATTGTTTTCAATTTTTGTATAGTAATTTCAAGTTGGAATTTTCTTTTTACGATGCCGCCATTTTTGTTTACCTTTAAGGTAAAATGATAAATAAACAATTTTAATAATGCTAAAAAGAATCAATGGATGCTAAAGTATTTCAATAATGCTAAATAATTTGAGAATAAATGTGTTTGTGTGTATTTGTAAGCATTAGAAAAATGCTTTTAATTTCAATTCAAATAATGAAAACTAAAGATTTAATTCTCTAGAAAAAAAATATTATGTATATTAAGTGTTGTTACGTTGTTGTCCAGTTAACAAATAATCTAATCTAAAAGAACATTACAATAATTTTTGTAATAAAACAGAATATTAATGGGAAGTGATTTAATTTGTTGTAAACAAATTCTTATATCTTAAGTGTTTTTCTAGAAATTTTGGCTTATTAATGAATAGAGGGTATTTTATTTTATCCCATTAGTATTGTACAGTCTTACGCTTTCAAGTTTACACAATTGAATAAATTTCATTTTTTTCCTTCAATGAAACTGTTTCATTTGGTTTGTAGTGAACTTTGACATTTATCTTCATTACATTCTGACAAATCATTATATATGTATATGTGGGTTTAAACTAAACTAATTTGGCTAAATTCTCTTTGAAAAGCTGTCATCGATTCATGCAACTCATAATTATCTATGATTTATGTCACGCACTGTGGTGAATTGAGATAATAACCTCGTAATAATAAATGAATTTTTGTAAATATAGATGACATTAGGCCGGATAAGATTTTGTTGCAAAAGGATAATGAAATATGCCGTTAATATTGGAATTATCTAATTCAAATTCGGTGATAATTTGATTTCGGGATAATAAATTTTATTTCAAGGCTTCATGATTTAATACTTTATAATTATTTTCTGTGGAGCTACCTAACGTATTACTGGCACGCATAATAAGACCATGTATACAAACGTTCTTCATGTTATTTTTAATATATTGTCAAAGAGAAGACCCAAAATCGGACGTCGGGTATGAGCTTCCCACGAACAACAGAAGCGGATAAAGCTTTTACGTTATTTCTTACAATTTGCCGAATTTCCATTTCCAAATCCAAAAGTTTCCAATCTTATTATTTACCATTTTTTTAAATAAAATTTTCACTTCACCTAAAAAAAAATTTTCATTTTTCATTTGCATATTTTTAGTGATTTATTTAATTTACCATTACCGCCATTATGGACTGTTGTATTAGGTGAATATGATCGAAATGCTGAATCTGGATATGAACAACGTATACCAGTTGAAAAAATAATTTTACATCAAAGTTATCAACATTTTTTACATGATCTAGTCTTAATGAAATTATCAATGCCCGCTGATTTATCAAAATTTTCGAATGTACGAAAAATTTGTTTACCATTTATATTCAATGAAAATGACCAATCATATAATGATGATATCAATAATGATGATGATATTAATATTGATCCTTTTCAAACTGATGACCATCATACAATGATAATGCAAATAACAAATAATAATCAATTTAATAATCATAATAACAATCATTTTCTTAATACACCTAGTAATAATAAGGAAGATGAAAATTTTTTTCCATCATTACAAGAATTTTTATTAAGTATGCAAGGTAGAAATAAAAATAATTTTACAATACCAAGTATGAAAGAATTGATGACAACAAAAATAGCAAATTTTCTAAAAAGACCACCAATAAAAAGACCAAATGGTCGACGTAATTCAAAATTTCCAAAAAGAAGAAATGATAAATTTATGAATGGTTTTAAAAATGTTAAAATTGGAAATGAAGATGGTGATTCAAATGTAACTGGAAATCATGAATTTGGTAATAATAATGAAAGTCATAATAGTGATAGTAGTGATACAATTTTATCAAAATATAATAATAAATTTCATGATGAATATAAAGATTTACCATATTTGGATTGTATTGCAACCGGTTGGGGAAAACCTAATATAACAGGAGATTTAAGTGATATATTATTAAAAACAAATGTTCCATTGCAAAGTAATTCAAGGTAAGTCGAATTTCTATTCATGACCTATTCGATATATAAGAATTAACTGTACCCAATGAAGAGAAAAATATTGTATGAGGGTGATATTTGAGTATGGGCAATCAAATCAGTTATTATGCGCGCTCGAAATCTATTCTTTAAAAATCTATCAAGAAGTAGCGCAAATATCAAAAAATAATTAAGCAATTCCCGTGTTAATATTGAAAATTTTCCTCTAATTTAAATGAGAATTGTATCTGCTGGCCTCTTTTTCATGTGACTTTTATACGTCATGTGAATATGCGAATATAATTTTCATATTTATATGCAAAAATGCATTTCATCACACTCAATTATTCAAAATTTCCTTTTATATATGAATTATTTTTTAATTCACAATAATTCTCTCACAAAAAAGAAATTCAATAACTTTTTTTCCGAAAATTTCTTAATAAAAAAGGAAAATTAACTTTGTCAAAAGTTTTTTATAATAAAAATTCATTTACAAAAATTTTTATTACTTTATTAAAGCAGTCAAAATTATTATAAAAATTAAAGACAAAATGACAAAATAACAAAAACAAAAGATGAATTTTCAATTACATACCTTTTTCCCAGTAAAACCATTTTGAATATTTTTCTCATTTCAGATGCAGAGACGCTTATGGTAGTTTTGTTAAAATTCATAAAGGACATTTATGTGCTGGTAAATTAAATGGAAAAGGCGGAACATGTGTGGTATGCTATAAATATTTTTCATACATAAACATTAATAATGTATTTTCAATTGTCGTTTTTTTTTATACAAAATTATAATAAAAATAATATTAAAAATTATTTCAATTGAAAATTTTAACATTTCTCCAACAAAACTTCAAAACTTCATTTGGTTTTTCCTTTCTGGCTTTTTCCCTTTTTACCTTTATTTTTTTACCTTTATTTAAAATTAAATTGAAATTTTTTAATGTGTAAGGATTAATTAAAAATTCATAATTATAATTATACATAATTTACTTACTATACATACAGGCCCGGTTCTGACTTTCTTTGATTCCTTACACCGTTTCCAGAACTCACGCCAACCGCCTATTTTGAAACCAAGTGTACTGGAAAAATTTGGAAAATATTTTTTCTTTTCAAAATTTATTTTTTTTTTATGTTTTTTCAATGGCGTCCTGTTTTCCGGCGCCCTTTCCAAATGCTTATTTTGTATATATGGAAGATCCGTCGCTGATTCATACATACATTCACATATTCACATATACCACCAATCCTTTGTTGCAACGTATATAAAGGAAATAAAATTGGTCACACAACCACATAATTCTTTTATTTCCTGAAGTTAGTTTATAAAGAGAAACTGCTTCAAAAAATATTTGGTTCGCATTAAGTAATTATTTTAAAAATAGAATAAAAATATTTTGATTTAAGGTTAAATGTAACATACATGGGAGCATTATATATATACATATATAGACATAGGTATTTTTTTTTAAATATTGAATTAATTTCGTAAAAATAAAATTTTCAATTCTGAATATTGTAAATTTTTTAATATTTTGTGTCCTGCCAATGTTATTTTGTTAAAAGTAAATAACTGATATTTTAGATTTTAGATTCTTTGAAATGTGACACTTTCACATTGTGTTAAAAATTTAAAGCATTAAAGTGCAAAAAATTCTAAATTCTTGCTATTATTTTCTAAATTCTTCGACAGATCAATAGAAGAGTTTTTGGTAATTGTTTTGAACCAAAATTACATATTCGTATAGATGAAAATCGACCCAATCTATTTGTTTTTTTTTTAAATAAATAAAATTTTTATGGATTTTCTCGTTTTTTTTTTTGGAATTTTAGTTGTAATTCAATTTTTGTCAATCTAAAAATCTAATTTTACAATAAACATTAATTTGCATTTTTCTAGTATTCGAGTGTTTATATGAAAGCATATGTGTAGTTAAAGAAATATGCATTGATTTTTAATATTGGAAATAAAATTAGCTTAAAATGGCACATAAATATAAAAAATAATTAATAAAATCAAATTATTGAAATATTTATTTGAAAAAAAATTTGATGTGAACAGCACATGCTCGTATCGTACATTTCTCAAAAACTGAAACTGAGAGATAAGTTTTCTTAAAATGAAGTTTTCTGAGAGTCTTTACAAAATATGCTTAGATAGAGAATTTCATCAAAAGCGGTTCAACTGGAATTTAAATATAAGAGGAAACGGACAGCCCGACACAACAACAAAGAGAATAGCTGATCGATATCTTATTAAAAATAGTTTCTTTAGATTTCTCCGCTCAGTAAAAATCATAATTTAATTTTGAAATCTTTCTACGATAAATCACGTCCCAGTAACTTTGTATGCTAAGAACTTGCTAATAAAATACAATATTCTGTTATATAAAGCAGAAATTTACAAAAATTTTCTAGAGTCAACCAAATAATTTAAAATGTTCTTTTAAAATTATTGAGCATAAAATAATTTTCGCTGTTTTCATTCTCTATATGTTTCTATATGTTTCATTCTCTACACCCATGAATATTGCTTTCCATAAAATTTATTACATCCCATATTAATCTTTAATTATTTAAAGAGGACGCATTTTAAAATCTCCAATCCAGATTGCCCAAAACAAAAAATACATTATTAGGAAAAAAAATCTTTTTTGCTTCTAACTTTTATTTTATTTTTACGTATATGACAGGGAGATTCCGGTGGTCCTTTACAATGTAGATTAACTAAAAATGGTCCATGGATATTAGCTGGTATAACATCATTTGGATCTGGCTGTGCATTAGAAGGATATCCTGATGTATACACAAGAACATCATTTTATATGAAATGGATACGAGATATTATTGATAATGAATAAAGTCCTTTGAATATATATATATATGTGTGTAATACACCCAATAAAGTATACAAAAAAAAACAAGGATAAATGTTAATGAATGTATAAAAGTAAAAATTATTCATTATAAAAAATTGTTATAAATATTATTTTGTCTGTTAACAAAATGTGTATAATAAGCGATTTTAGGATTTAGTGTATATAAGAATAAATGTATAGGTATATTTTAGTGTTATATAATACTATAATTATTAAAAATTTTATGCGTAGCTCAGATATTATTGTGCGTCGCTTTAATCCATTATAATCTGGTACTCTAAATATTGTCATTGAATAATAAATTTTGTAATTTCACTCTTCGTTGTTTTTATCCTTTTTGTTTTATATTGTTATATTTTTATTTTATATAATTAAATTTAATCGTCATACTCACTATTATATTAGTTATAATAATAATTACAAAATATGAAAATCTTTTCTGTCTGAAATTGTATTTAAAATAAATATAAATTTTTTTTCGATTTTTTGTTAATTATTCATGCATTGTATAACAAATATTTTTTATAAAAATGAAAATAATTTTTAAAAATAACAAAATATTATTTATAAATTGTTTGTTTTTTTTTTATTTTATTGTTCTTTATCAATAATAATTATTGTTATATTAATTAATTAATATATTTTTTTTTGTTGACTTTTCAATTTTAAAATAAACTTTCATAATATTGAAATAATTAAAATATAAAATATTATTTTTATTTTGTTTGTTTTGTTGTTTTTCCTATGAAATTTTACTGAAAACAATTGAATATGTATTTATGGTAGATAATTAAAATGGTAATCGTATTTAAAATAAAAATTTAAAATAATTTATGATGGTTGAACCAACCAGTATAGAATTTAAAGACAAAAAAAATTTGAAGTGATCAGCACATAATCGACGAAACAAGGTATTTTCTAGTTTAGCATAAATGTGACGCAATTAAAAAACCATTAAACACTTTTTTGAAATTTTAAGGAGGCTAGTAAGGTTTTAGATATCTACCTTAAAAAACGTAAACTAAGCTCTGAGTAGAGATTTACTTTATGCCACGAAAATTTCCTCTGGCAGTACACAGAACTAAAATATTAAATCTCTGGAAATTTTCTCAATTTTTACCTTATGTCAGTGTAAGTTCGACTTTTGGAATATGTCAGATTTCGGGAATTGGACAGGTCGATTTTAGATTTTTGATCGTTTTTAAGAAAATGTTCAAAACTTCATGTCATATAAAATTTCAAGAAAATGGCCGACATTAAGATTAAAATCTACACATCAGACTCGACAGACCGACAATACGATTAACAAAATAGTTTATTTACCCATTCCTACCATGAATGAGTGCATTTAAGTCGAAAACTCGATATGTGAAATTTGATGCCATCACATTAACCTCCCTTATTGTATGCAATGCGGTCGATTCAAAAATTCATTTATCATTGTCATGATTGCAATTTGAAATCATCTAGTTTACTTTTGTTTATAATATATAGTTCGTGTGTATAGAAGGTACATTTTTACATGAAATTATCACATTAAATATATGAGGCATTGAATAGAAATTTTAATAGAAATTCAATTTCGAAATAAATTTTTAATGCTATGTTTTTTGTATAAAAACTCTAATATCACAAAAAACCATAATAATCCATAAATATCCATTCCCATAATAAAGGTTGGAATGAAATTTAATTTAATAATTTTTAAATTCGTTGAAGACAGACTTACCTTATGTGCTTTACGCGCAAGATATAATTTGCGTGATAAGCGTGCGTGATAAATTAGAACAGAATAATTTTTATTAATTACTTTAAGTTCGAAGAGTTTTTGTTACAAAATTTGTACAATGTTAAAATGTATGAAAAGGAAAAATCAACCATTTTGTTCATGGAAAGGCTCTTAAATATCACAAGAATACATACTTTGTAAAATATGATTGTACAGTTGCATTTTATAAATATAAATTCTTATGTAGTGGGAAAAATTATTATAAGACCTAAGTTTTATTAAGATTTTTTAATCGGATTCAAAAAAACATTTAAGAAATAAAAAATTACTAAGATTTTTTGTAATCACCATTCACCTTAAGTAAAGTTTTAAAGTTTTACTCTTCCGTGACTTAGTAAAACAATTAGTTTTCAAATTGTTTAAAAGAAAATTATTGTGTTTTCTGAGACTTCAATTTAGTTCTATAGCGTTTCTCTATAAAACTATATTCGCTGAGTTTCTTCCAAAACTTCATTTCATTTCTTGCATACCGTCTACGTTTCACCCCAAAACTCCTAAAAAACAAGCATTGAAACATTCAAGAATTTTTTCGGGTTTTTAAAAATTTATTACAAAAATATGAAAAATATAATCTCATTTTTCTATCTTTCATCTTTAAAATTTTTTCAACAGGGTTTTCTCTTAAAATATTCTAAATTTTATTTTTCTTTTTTTTAATGAGTAATGTTTTTTTTTAATTTATTATTATAAATATGTAATATTATATAAATATATATGTATGTATATAATTGCTAGCACCTATTAAAAATAAAATGTCACATTTCATTATATCATTTGAAATTTAATAATAATGTTATACATTTTTTTATTATTTTTGTTTTTTAATATTTATTTTTCAATTTAAAATTAAATAAAATATAAATGACGTTTATATTTTTGCACTTAAATTTAAAAATAATATCAGATATTTAATTATAAAACTATTATATCACAGTTTTTAGTGATCTTATTTCATATTACAACACGTATGTATGTATGTATGGGCATGTATGTAACATAAATATATAAATGAATTATTTACCTAACAAAAATAAATATGTAAATTTAATATTCACCAAAATATTGTAAAATTATAGAGAAAATCACTTTTATAATACTAAAAATAAAATATGAGTGTTAGAATACTTTGCTCGATATTATGTATTGCATATATAAGAAATATTTCTGTGGTTAGAAGGGAAAACTGTCTATAAGTTTAAAAGACGTGTTAAGAGACGTAAAAATATGTAAATTACTAAATTTTCACACTTTTGGCCATTATTTTGGAACAAAATTTTATAGAATGTAAAATAAATTTTATGTAGAATTTTGTACTAAATATTAATGTAATTACAACACTTTACAAACCAATAATTGAAGTCAAATGATTAATTAATATTACTGACATATTCGTTCTGACATTAGAACAAAAAGTATTGTATAAACTTTTAATAATTATTGGAAAACATGAAAATGTATCTTTTAAATTTAAAAAGCCAATGAGCATTTAATTAATAGGAATAAAATGTGATGTAAACTAAAGAAAAACATTATTTAATGCTGGAAAATTGCTCACAATTTATGCATAATAAAAAAACATTAAAAAAACTACATTATGGAATTTCTATTAGCTCTTTAGAAATAAAAATTCCATTATGCAATTAAAAAATATTTAAAATGTAGCGTTTGCTTTCTATATAAATATAAAAAACCATCTACTGGTATAAATTCGCATAACTATTTCTCTCAATTACTTCTTTACATAAACTTTTTTAGTTGAGAGTGTTATTCGCGAATTAGTTAAGAGTGTTATTCGTTTAGAAAAGTAAATTGCCGTAAATGGAATTAAATACAAATAGGTACATATTACCAGTGTTTTTCTTGTAGGGCTTGACTTATTTTATATAAATACATAAAATTTTAACATATCAAAAATTGGAAGAAATTGTTTCTCTTATAATTTCTGATTGTTTTAATTACTTTTTACGACAATTTTCAACTTGAAATTAACTTTTTAAAAATTTTTTTGATTTTGAGTATAATGTTAAGTTTCAAATCCAATTTATAATAAAGGAAAACATAAATATAAAGTAAAATATAATAAACTAGTACACAAAGTGTTTATTTAAATTTTAGAAATCGCATAAGTGATTTGTAAATATGAAAATTATGAAAGAAATTAATGAGGGAAACAGAGGAATGCATAAAATTTTGCTTTATCAACATGGTACTCGAAAATAGTACAATAGAAACTAACAAGTTTTTTAAAATAATTGATATACATGCTCATAAAATTCTTTGAAAATAAGAATAATGTATAAATTGCAAGTTTAACAAGATTTTAACATTATAGAACGTTGAACTGTTAACAAAAAATTTATTTCAATTTGTTTTTAAATTCAAAAATTTTAATGGAAATATAGTATGTAAGTTTGTACGTATTGTATAGATACGCAATCCTATAATTATGCAATAATATAGGAAATTGAATTTTTATTATTGTATTTTAGTATGTAAGAGTATTTTTAGTTATTTTGATATTATAAATAAGTCATTTATATTTCTGATGTTTTCATATGAAGTACCAAAGGCATGTGACTAATGGAGCATGTGACTAATGTGAGCATGTGGCTAAAAATGAGTTCTAATTTATTATACAGTGCAAATATTACCACGCAACTTTAAATTTTTAAAATATACTACCATCATAAAAATTTTTAGTTTGAATAATCGTTGCCAATATTAGAAATTCACAAGTTATTTCTTAACGTATATGACTAACCACAGAAAGAGAGTGATTGAATTGTCCTATAAAATTTCCAGAATTATATAAAATTTCTCATCCCCGGTCTTATTATAATAATATTATGCAATAATTGATGTTAGTCGATTTGAATTTCATAAGCATCTACGAAAAAAAATAGTTAATACTTAAAGAGAAATACTTAAGAATTTACAAATAAAAATCTTTACTATTAAGAAGTTAAATTTTCGAAAATGTTTTAGTAATATAGAATAGTTCTTTAAATGAAATCATAACAAAAACGCAACGCAATCATAACTATAAGGTTAAGGAACAAAGAAATGGTTAAGAAATAAATAATTTATATATTGCTAAGGGATTCAGTCAAATTTTATTCTTAAAAATAAAGATTGACTGTAACTCTCTATAACACATACATAATTATAAAAGATTTTAATTTTATTCTGAAAATTTTTTTATAACGAAAGCGTTTTGAATTTATATGTAAAAGGTTTCATGTATGCTTTCGTTGCGTTTATATTAAAAGATATTAAAGTGAAATAAAATATCATTATAAATAAACTGTGAAATGGAAAAATTTTTTATTTTTCTGGAAATTGAAATGTTCAACAATGCTAGGTAATTCGTTTTAATTAAATACAATTTATCATTTCGGAAATAATTTGAAATTTTGTTTTAAAATTCAATGAGTCACTTACTTTAAACCTAACACAAGTTTAGAAAGAATTAATAGTGTATTCCACAAACGTTTTCACTAATAAAAAATTTTTGAATAGAAGTACAGATGATACCTTGATTATTTAAATAAATAAAATTTTAATGTAAAGTTAAAATTTTAGTTGGGTAAGTTTTCACCTAGAATTATAGCTGAATAAATCTTTTTATTAGTTTACTATATGCATGTACTTCTTTTCCATTTAAATACCAGATGAATGTAAAACCCACATACCCACGGGACGCAATTATAATTCCAATGCAATTATATATATGTATTTAAAATAATTGTAAGTGTGAAAAATCATAATTATGTGTCCCGAGTAATGTAGTTTGCGTTGAAAATTTTCAACATTAACGATATTTTACTTATGTAATTTCAAAATTAAAGAAAATATTTTCTGAATTTTCATATTTTTGTCAGGTTATGAAAATAAAGAATTAATTTATAAATATTCAATTTATAAACTCTTCATAAATACTGTAAGAGTTTCGAAAAACTAAATCTAAAAATTATACAAATATGTCACAATCTTTTTCTTATATATTAATATTAAAACTATCACTGTAATTATATAAAACAATATTTGCCTCAACTTATTTACAAAAAACAAAAAAAAACAAAAAAGGATTTTATAAATACAATTAATTAATACATGTTTAATACATACATAAGCGAATCATATTTTACATAAGAAATTCAAATTAAATTAAAAATTTACAATAATTTTTTGTAATTATTCACAAATTTTTATCTCAATCATATACAAATAGAATATTTAAGACGAAAATTTAATTTTCTTGAAAAATTTCAAATATAATATTGAAATAATTCAAATATACAAGCAGATTTTATGGCATTTCGGTAGTGTACTTTAAAATAACTATTTTTTTTTTGTAATTTTTACTTATAATTCAGTTTTAACAGTTTTAATTCAAGCAAGACTTACTACAAATAATAAGAAATAAAAATGATTGAGTAAAAAACTAAAACTAATGACTATTTATTTCACTAGATCAAAGTTTCTATATTCTTCTTTTTGAATTTCTCATGTAATCATGTAATATGAAAATAATATTATGTAAAACTTAAAATTAAAATATTTTCTAAAATTAATAAATTATCACCAATTTTCACATACAGCTTATGTAAATAATAATTAATGAGTATAGGATGAAATTTACAAAGATCTTACAAGTATTTTGCTTTATTAGAATACAATAATGGTTTCTTAAATAAATTTTGTTTTTCAATATTTACAATATTATGTTATCATAATTATAAAAATTTAATAAAACAATTTCTTATTTTTTATCTACTTAAAAATAAAATTAAATTACATAATATAAATTTAAAATTGAATATTTTTAAAAATACATTCTTTCATCCGTTCCTTTAATAGTGTATTCTAGAAATATCTGTACCTAAAACTTCATGATCTTCAAATTCATCATCATCTTCATTAAATGATGTTGATGTTAAACATTTCATTTCTTCTTCTAATATTTTACCACCACCTATACTTAAACGTTTATTATCTAAACTAAGTATTGCTGGACCACTTACAATAACAATTGGTACTTTACATACACCAGCTGGTATTGATGTTATTTCTAATGCTTTCTCATGTAAATGTCTCATACGATTTGGTATCCATCTAATATATAATATTGCTTTTAAAAATGCTGCAATTCCACCAGCATATAATATAATTATTAAAGTTATTTGAGCATATGGTAAAATACTGAATAGAAGATATAATAAAAATAATAAGCCTGGTGTTAAACTTTCAACACCCTAAAATTATATTTTAAATAAGTAAATATTAGAATTTATTATAAAAGTTTTACTTTAAATTTATTTTAAATCAAATTTTAAAAATTTCTTACCATATCAATCCAAATAATTGGTAATACAATATTTCTAAATGGTCTCATATCAGAATTAAATTTAATTTCTCCCATTAATAAATTTAATTGTATACGAGATCGTACTTTCATTGGTATTCCAAGTTGCTAGAATTGATTTAAAAATAAAAAATTTTAATAAAAAATTTTATTTCAAATGTAAATTTAAAATTAATGAATGTTAAAATTTTATTTATCGGAGCTTGGTTAACAAAACGAGGGAAATAAATTTATTAATAATACAAAAATCAAAGCATCAGCCGCCATCCAACTTATTTAAGTATATTCTAAAATTATATAAAACTAGAACCTTCTAATTCATTTTGGATTCTGCAAGAGTTGAAATTTGTAACTAGAGTTTTAATAAAATTTCTCTTCAAATTATTTACATATTCATCAATATTCCGTTTTTCAGAATATACGATATCTGATACAGATATAGAATTCTATATCACAAATTCACTTCAAAAACAATAAAGAATCAAAAACGCTATAAAATTAAGAATAAATGCAAATCATGATATTTTAATTGCATATTATTGTTATTATTTAATTTATAAATTACCACCTTATACTAAATACCTTTAAATCATAAATTTACAGTATAATTGTTTGTGTCATTAATTCTAAATTGCATGACATTGCACACCTAAGTACTTAATGTTTATGACGTCTTAAAGTTGATTTACTTAATCAAATGTATGTATAATATTACCATCACCAGACTTGACCTCAAATAACCTCTCAATTATCAGAATAAAGTGAGCATATAAACTCACTCATTTTTTCTTAATTATTAATTCGATTAAATAATTTAATGGATCAGAATAAATTTGATAATTTGTTCATGCAATAAAAATAAACAATTATTCTCATTTAAATTAATTTAATAATAATTAAGATTTTAGTTTATAATAATAAAGCCCTTATACCGATTTAAAACATATTATTTGATATGTAATGCAAAGTAATTTTATTTAAAAATAAAAAAATTAAAATTAATATTAATAAATTATTTGAAACGTGATGCAGCACAAAAACTGTTGTAAGATCAATATTAATTAGAGTTAAAAATTAAATCAATCTTAATTAAATTCAATATATATATATACAATATTATGTCAATAAATAATATGTATATGCACATTTACTTACCTGCATTAAATATGCATAATATATACTCTTTATCTGTATTGTACATTGTAAAAAGTCAAAATAATTAAGATATTTTTAAAAGTTTACTTCTCTTATTACAACAGCATGGTAACTATGTATTATAGCTAAAATTATCTTGAATATTTTCAAATAAGTTACCACATTCACGCTGCACAAGTTTCTTTTCTCATACTACAATATGATTTGTATAAATTAATGAAAAATTTCATAAATTTTTAAATTTCAACTTATAACAAAAATTCAACATTCGAGCAATTTTAATTCAACTTTTCAGGGGAACACGTTTATCTAATTTAAAAAAATTATTGACCTGGCAGAAATATAGTTTTAACTGACAGCGCATTTGACAATTTAAATGTCAATTCAATTTTGTTTTTTTTTTCATTCTTAATCGTTTTCTCAAATGTAATAATAAATACTAATAAAAATATTTTTGTGGATAGCAAAATAAGCAATTTGAATAAATCAATTGAAAATTGAAAATTTTTTGTTATTCATAGTTAGACAATTGAAATTACAAATATTAATTTAAAAAAAAAATTAACATTACAATTTTATGATCTTAAAAGTTCGGTTTGAAAGTTCAAACTTTGCAAATAATTTTCATTTTCACACCTGCCTTAAGTGCAAAAAAAAATTAAATTTACTTATAATAATTTCATATTTGTCAATTTCTCTTAGGTACAACCCAATTCTAAAAAGTAATTCTAAAAAGAAAGTTTTATTTACCCTTGTAAATAATAAAATATTTGCACAAACGTAAGCATACATGTTTTTTTTGCTTTTGAACAATTTATATCTGTTAGAATTTTTTATTTTTATGTGACTAATTTTTTTTAGTGATTTTAATTTCGAAATTCTAAATTTTGCACAAATATTGTATGTAACATATTAAACTTAAAGCGTTAAAGACAATAAAAAAATGTCAACACAATAAATCATAGGAATAAAAAAAATGGATCTAGGTATATTGACCGTCGGTAAATTAATCGGCTGTGTACAATTCATTTAAGGAAATTTTATAAATGAACCCAACATTTTTTTTAAAAAAAAAAATTTATTTTAAACTAACCTCTAAATTGTACAAAATATTGTATAGAATTTGACATTCATGTAAAGCCATCTACCGGAAAAGAGATGTGTAAGACCACTTTATTCAAAATACTCTTTTATAAAGAACCTCTTTTTTAAGGAAGTGTAGATGTGTAGTTAGATGTAGTTAGATGATTTGTAATTAGAGTTTTTTGTAAATATTGTAGAGTATTATTCGTTGCCATACAACAACAGTAATAACTGAAATTTTCGATCTATTAAAATATTGCCGGACCTTAAACTATTATAAACTAAATAAAATCTTCAGAATTTCTGCTATTCGTATTACAAAATTAGAATAATGCTCTTCCATGAAACCGATATATAAACTATGGCGCACATCTTAAATAGATTTCACGTTGGAAAAATAAAAAAAATAATGAAAAAGAGATAAAATATTTAGAATAAAAAAGAGATCACTAATTTGAACTTTAATCTGTCAAGTAATAAACTTTATGTGTTAGCAACAACATTTTTTCAATTCTATTCCATTATTAATAATTCAACTTAAAATGAAATTGAAAAACTTACCGGTTGTAAAACAATTTCAGATCCATGCTTTTCTTCAGATGGATCTAATCCTTCTATCGAATCCAATAAACTTGGATCACCATTATAAAAATGTGGAAATGATACTGCAGCTGGAATATCTATTAATTTCAAATTAATATATAAAAAATTTAATATTATCTACATTACGTATACATTGTTGAAATTAAGATTGAGTACAAATTTTTGCATTTACAGTGATTCGACTTTGAAATAGAATTATGACTTCATTTCATTTACAATGGCGTTCTATTGTGAACTTTATTGCAAACTACATATTTAATTATGCAATTCTATACATATTAAAACTAAATTTTAATAAAAAAAATTTATAAAACATAAAAATTCAAAAAAGGTTTAAAGCTCTTGATTAAAATTATATAACTTAGAAATAATTAAAAAAACCAGTTGGGTTTCCTTTATTTTACCACTTGTACGTAATCGTTAAAGAAATTTCATTTTTATAACATACTTAATATTTTTAAGCTTTAATTTAAGCAAATTACAATTTCCTCTACAATGTTGTTATGAAACTAAAATAGAAAATAAGTTGCAAACGTACGTCACATTTCAGTTTAACTCATAAATATTATTAATTTTATTTAAAAATTTTTAAGCAAATAAAAGTTTACTAATTCACAATCACTAATTCATAATTATTTCTACAGGGAGAACTTAGACTTTATTATATATTCATAATTTCTCGTAATTGTACGGTTTAGAACAAAATAATGATAAATTGATTGAAAAATAATTGCTACTAAATTGACATTTATGTCAAAGTAGTGGAAAATATTCCGTAATTATATGTTTAACTAATTGATTTTTTTACAGAAATGGTCAATTAAAACATAGAAAAAGCAACATAATTGCTATAATAAATAAAAATTACAAATATATGCAGAATTAATATATGAACTGCATAAAATTTATTTATTAATTATTTGATTTTAAATTAAGATAATATTAATTATAATTACTCTATTTATTGATAAATCAACTTTAAATATAAAATGTTTTTTATATTTACGATAAAAATAATTATGCAATATACGTTCAATAATGTTGAAATTGTGAAAAAGTACTTCATACGAAAATAATTTAATAAAAGATCACTGTAGCGCTTGCGTATTATCGTAACAAAAACAAAAAAAAATTTACTTAAAAATGAAGTTGTCAAATTTTAGTCAAACCAATTTCAATAAATTGTTTATGGTATACTTACTATAGTAGCATGGTGTAATATTACCCAATCCTTTTCTTAAACAAACTCCTCTCCTACAGAAACATGATGATTGCGGATCATCTATATTACTGTCAAATGCATTGTCAGCTAATTTAAAAAAATACGCTTCGACACCATCAACTTCACCTGTGTATTATTAAAGAAATATTAAGCTTGTATTATAGAAATTACGTATACCAACTTGTAAGCATATGTGTAACATACTTTATTAAATGATTGGTAATGATATTATAAAAATATTTATTATGCAACTTTAAGTTTAATAATATACAGGTAATCTATATAAACTAAAATTAATATCTAGCGCAGATCTACTCCACACCTCTATTATTGAAAATCTTTGGTTTTTTGTCGAGAATGATATGTTAAAACTGCAGATTCACAGGCGAAATAATAACGCCTTTGAAAAACCCCATCCCAAAGTATTTAAGCCTAGACTAAGCTGTTACATTCAAAACCAATTCAAACATTATACGACTAGGACGTTCTACTCCTGTCCGCATATACTACATTCCGTTCTTTTTAATAATTTAGCAATATCACTGCTTCATGAATGGGAAAAGGGTCTTTGGATTACGGATTGAGGCCCCACATAGCAAATAAGGTTATGAAACATCAGTGGTTAATTGTAATTTTATTTTATTGTAAGAGCTAATATTAATCTACTTGTATTTGAAAGAAGTATTTATGCTATAGCACACAGTTTATATATAATAATAGAGCAAAGCGTTCCGAATCGTTTTTTAGGAAATATACATACATAATATATTTCCTAAAAAATGATTAGAAATGTAAGAGAGAAGTATCTTTTTATCTCAAGAAGAAATGAATGGCACATATATTGCAGCTTTAAATTAATTGTATAATGGCTCTATCTAACTCTAATTACCCAAAGTTTATTTTCAGTTGCATAAAAAATTAATTCTCATTTTTTCCAATATGACAAATCACAGTAAGACATTCGGCAACGCCTAAGCTTACCTGGGTGCGAATAAACAATTGGTAAAGTTCTACAAAATGTTTTACGATAAATTCGAAATGTTTCTCCTTCTGTTATATTTCTAGGGAACAATGTTCCATCATAAGTACCAGCTAATGTATTACATTCTGAATTTCTATATAAATAATTAAACATTAAAATTTTTCTTCAAATATACAAATATAAAAAGGTATAATATTACCCATAAGGATTATTTTCAGCGTAGCCCCATTGTTTCAAACCTTTTTGACCATTAAAATTATCTATTGAAAAATCTCTAATTAAAGGTATAAAAGGTTTTTCATATTCCTGTTGTTCTGGTTCAATATTTTTTAATACATCTACAATCGTATCGAAAGATTCACGTTGTTCATCATTGTATTCATCATTAGATACTAATCTTTCACTAATTGGTGCATCTATATTATTGGATTTTGATTTATGTGGTAAATTCATTGTTACAGTATTTTTACCTTCATCAAACATCTACAAAATATACAAATAATTAATCAAAATGCAATGTTGTAATTTATTTAATAAAAAATGTGAAAGTTCATTACCCTATCTAATAAACCGAATTTTTTAAAATGTATAACATTTGGTATAATTTTAGATGCTAATGATACTAATGGATCATCATAACCCCAAAAATATTCATCCACTGTTATATTATTTAATATAACTTGTGATCTTAAAGTACGCATTAATGTTCGAACAGCAATTGCACCTAATAAAGAAAATTCTGAAACTGCTGTTGTAACACCCATATATGGTATATTGGGAACTGTTATTCTGTCACTTTTTGGATCACCAATTGACATTTCTCGTATAAATTTAACACGACGTGTTGGCTGAAAAGTCACTGTATTATGTTCTGTACTAAAGCTTGCATTATGATTTTCAAGAAACTCCTGATAAACATACGGTCCAACTTCTTCTAATTTAATTTTCTTATCTATTCCTTTATAGAAATTTTCAAAATTTGTTATATTGTATGCATAAACTCTAATGAATACTTCTAATGGAGGCTTCTCCCAAAGTTTAAATAATAATGAACCAGGACGAAGTGACAATTGCTGTAAATAAAAGTAGTTATTTATTGTTATTTTATACATTTTTTTAAATTATAAAATTATAATGTAATTACTTTACATTATAGTATTTATTTTCTTTATTATTTTTCTAGTTTAAATTTTTTTTATAAAAATTTGACCAGCTATGGTTTACAAATACGAAATGGTGGTTTTGGCTCATTATCGAAAATTAAATTAAATGACCAATTGTGAGTTCTTTCACTTATAATGTAAATTGGACTGTGATTGAACTCGTCTTATTAGTATATAAATTAAAAAACTGATTAATCTATTACATAGTTCGTGTAATATTTTAACACCTTATTAAATTTAACTACATATATTAAATATTAAATAATTATAAAAAGAAACTTACATCGTCTACAATTAATTTTATTGGATTTATAATGATGATTAATGACGCTATTATAAAAAAAAGTAACCCAAGAAAACTGAACCGCATACAACCTAAAATAATATAAAAGAAAATGTAATTAATAATTAAGTTTTTTTATTAATTATTTACTAAATTATTATTTCTTGATATATATAATTAAATAATTAAATAATGAAATAATCAAAACGAAATTAATTAATCGTGTCAATAACTTAACACTTCATTAATTTAAATGAGCTCCCATCATATTAATAATGATCTTTTTGACAGAATCTGGAAAATCAAGTTCAATAGTGAATCAAAATAAAATGTAAGATTACAATAAACAAGTTGAAACATGAAACATGAAACTTAAATTATATTTGTCAAAAAGATAACCTCATATTAAAAATTATAATTTATTTTGCCGCCGTTTTTTTATTTAATAAGATAAAATCTTAATATAATACAATGAAATTTTAAGTTTTTTAAAATTTTTACCAGAACATTTTAGTTTTGAAATAAAATAGCTCACTTTATAAATAAACACAACAATGTTGAATTGTAAGATAGGAGGTAATTTGAAATCAGACGTGTTTTAAGAATGCAACTGTATGTATTTTTAATTACAATTCCATGTATATTACAGGAAGCAAGCCCTAAAGGAACAACATAATGCACCGTGCAATTTCCTTATAAAACGAAATTACGATATAAAATATGCAATTATGACTTGTTTTATTTCCGGTATTAAATGTAAACACAATTTTCTTCAAATTTATAATTGAAAAGCGCCTTCAAACGGCAATATTTTAATACTGAAAAAATGTTCAAATTTTTGACAATTATTCAGTAAAAAACTTCTTTTGTATCATATTGAAATCAAATATTCATGTTTTATTAGAACCTTAGAGCAATAATTATTAATGCAATTCAGCACATAATTTTATGAAGTATTGTTCTTTATATTTTAATATTAATTGTGTATTAATTCCTATAAAATATAATTTAAATATTCACAATACGAAATTCATTATAAATTTATAAGTACATTTATGTATGTATAATATTTGATATTCAATTCACAAATATCCAACATGATCCTCCAACAATAACATAAGTGGCATTATAAAAAATTTAATAATGCGATTGTGTATAATTTAACGAACATCTTATTTCCTTCTTACATATATTTTTTTTATTTCTTAATACTTTTTATACAAACAAATCATTATTTTCTGCATAGTCCCAACTAAATTAAATACATAAGATAATATAAAAACCAAAACAAAACAACAAAAAACATGTAACGTTAACAATAGGATTCAAGCAACTTAAGCTTATAAGATAGTTTTTTTGAATTCTATAGAAGCTTTTGGTATATCAATATACATATATACATACTCATAGATATACATTGGTATTTGCACATAATATGAAATCAGAATTAAGTCAAGATGATTAACTGCGAATGCACACAATAAAAAATGTGATAATCATATAAGCAATTGTGTAAATATTAGAAGATTTCAATTTTCTTTTTTTTTTTGTTTACAAACAAAAGCGTTGCATTTCTGCATTCCATCTTACTAAATATAGTCATAAATATATTATTAGACACACACAAGTAACTGATTGAAACGCGAAAAAATGTGAAACGAATGAAAATTAAAATATAACAGAAAAAAATAAAATTAAATTGATAAAGAAAAACAAATTTTTTTTTTCTTTTGAGATTTTTTTTTCATTTTTACTGAATAAAAATTTTATTAATGATAAGTGCATTAAAAATCATGTAAAATGCAAACATAAAGTGTACAAGTACTTGAAACAACTTGACTTATATTTTTTTTTTTATAAAACTGTGAAAATTATTTTAGAGGAAAAACCCCAAGTATAGTAATAAAATTAAACCTTACATTCTCTCATTAAAATAAACACATTTTTTTTTGTGTTTTTTGACATAATATTATTAACATATTTTCGAAGATGTAATTGCTTCCTTAACTATATAAACCGAAATAATTTTAACCTTTCCTTGCCATTTTTGTATAATTCATTTAATAAAATTACATCTCAATTAAAATAAATGTTTCGTATAACTATACAAGGAAAAAAAAACAGATATAACATATACATAGGTATTATAAATTAAATATTCCATTAATAATTCATTTTATTGCATTGCTATACTACTACTATAGACACTTTATATGTATATGTATTCATGTAATAAAAATATTTATTGAGAAAATCTCATATGACAAGTAATACGATCCCACTCGAATAGTATTACAAATATTTATTAATGAAATCCAAAAAAAATAAATTCATAACAGTACATAATGAGTATTTATTATGAAAAAAAACTTGTATTTTAATTAAATTTCTCATATTACTGCTACTCAATACTGTAAGGTGTAATGGTGCTCTATTTAAAATAAAATGCAGTATATGTATGCAATGCGTACATAATAAATTTCCAGCATCTGAAGTGACTGAAATTTTCCATAAAAAAAATACTGTTTCAATTCCATTTTTAATTCTGACATTACAGATGTCATAATTAATAATTTAATAAATGTATATAAAAATTAGTATTTTGAAAAATTTCACACTTAAGTAGAAAACTGGAATTAAAGGTAAAATTTGTACTTTATTGAACTCTTGTATAAGAAAAAACAAATGTCGTGCAATTCAAACTCCTCTTAATATTCTTAATATAGGCATATGCTCAATATCAAATCTAGATCCTTTAAATCTAACAAAATTAACAAATTCAATTCTATTTGAAATATTTAATTCTTAAAATATTTACTAAATAACTTTACTCTAATTACGACTACGCATAAATTTCACAAATTTTGATATAGAAAAAATTTAACGAGTTTCTAATAAAAATGTTCAAATACTTGTATAATTATGTACAAACTATAAACACACTATTATACATTTGTACATACTTTGTTTATAAACTTAAAAAACTTTGATTGTGTCATTGACATTGAACCAAAAACAAAGATAACAAAGCTACCAATCGTTTTCTTCTCGTATAATAAAAAAATCTACTAACTCACCTGCTTTGCTTACACAATCTTGTTACTGCCATCATTATCATAAACAAAAAAAAAATAACAAAAATTTTGAGCATCTCGAAAAGCTTTAAAAAAATTTGTAATTTTATTATTTTTTTCGCTAATTTTTTGTTTTTGAAATATTATGCAATTTACAGTTCTCACAGTTTTTATATTCATAAAGCATTTCTTTTCGCGATTTATTGAAAAAGAAACAGATATACATACATATATTTGACAAATACAACTAGATATATAACAGTATCTTATAATATAAAACATACGCGCGAACAAAAGTTTAGATGCGATGAGTAAGAAAAAAATTTTTTTTTTAACTGAATTTCTTCGAAAAATTTTTCACACTATTTTGACAACTTAAAACCAATTCGTATAAAATGAAAAAGTAAATTGTAATTAGGATAATGTTAATAATATGGTGAGATGTTGAAATAGAAATTTACATGACGTACAACTAAATAGAGGGCCTATTATGAAAAAATTAACCTTTTTGGTAACACTGATTATGATATTATTGACTTAAAATTAAAACTGATTAAGAAAGAAGTATAGTAGTTCAAAGTACCTGAACAATTTTAGCATTGGTTTGCAGTTTAACTATGTAACTTTAAAAACTATACTCTGCAGATTTTCTTAAAATTTACCTACCTGCTACCTGCATGCATAGAATATAACTACCTACATAAAAATTCTAATAATTAACTAGCTGCATAAAAATTTGATTAATTTACCAAAATATGCTAAAAATTTAAACATGTAAAATAAAAATTATTAAATTTATAATTTAATTCTTTCACTGTGATTGCGAACTATTTCATATTTACTCTTGTCAAATCCATTTATTCATCATTACCATATGAAAATGAATGTACTGACCATTTGCACACTGATTACATTGCAATGATACAAACAAAATATTAAGAATTTTTTCAAAATTCTTTCTTAAATGCAATGATTAAACCCAATGCATTTTTGAATTTTTGCTCAATCTCATTTTATTCATATGATCAATTATGTATGAATTCGGGTAAAAACAGTATATTACGGTGCCTATTGTCAATTTAATCAAACTTGTAAAAACAAATTAGTGAGTCATTTATAAACATAAACACTTCATATTCAATTTATTTAATCTTTAACCATTATTATAGTTATTCTATCTATAGACATATTAGAATATTATAATTTATTTTTAACATAATTTTTAATAAACTTGAACTTTGCCGCCTTTTAAATAATATTGCGTTTACATTATTTGTTTGCAATAGACTTGTTATATCGTCATATTTTTTCGCGCTCATTTAAATGTTAAGTATGATGAAATAAGTGCTGTTTTTCTTATTTACTTAATGATTTTATGGTTTTTCATGAGAAAAAAAGCTTAATTTGTAGTAGGTAACATTTGTCCATTATTAAAAAGTCTTTTAACATTTTATGTATTTTTTCTGTAAACATTATATTCACAATGAATGAAAATCAATGGAAACTTCGAAGCGGATCTCTTTTGTATTCTACTTTAAATTGTCACTTAGTTCTTTTATAGCAACAAGAATTTTTTTTTTGACTTTTCGAGATTAAAATAAATTTCCAAATCAATATTTATTTTTATTTTAAAATTTTTAACTATCTATGTAAATGTACAGCAATTAAAAATATTAAAAACAACATTACGGTCATTTAATACGATATTGCAAAAATAATAAATTATTAAACATTCGGAAATTGTGTTGAATGAATACAAAAGAATGCAAATTTTGTGAATATTTTTCAAAACAATATTTTTTTGGATATGAAATAAAAATCAAAATATAATTTACGGTCTCGTCGAAAAATAATGCATTTTAATAATAGTAATAATATATTAAGTTTATTTACTTAACTCCAATTAACCCATATTTACTCTGTTTTTTTCTTGAAAATTCACGTCATATTTTAATTATGTATGTGTGTATAATAATTACTTACTATATATACATATCAATTAAATATTTGAACTCTAT